AGTCTGTGTGCGCGTTCTATGTCTTTCGGAGCAATAGTTAATTTGAGGTGCTCGCTTGAAAACCTGATAATCTTTTCCTCAGATTTTGTCCAACTTTCGTTAGACTCATCATCTATCCCGTAGAACACTAAGTTATTTCGCCGCGCTCTATCTTCGGCGTCATCAGTGCGTGCAGTCAGCTGCTCAATCTGATGCGCGTTTGCCTCTGCGAGTGCATGCACACTCTTCACGTCAGCTTTGATCGCCGTCAGCGATTGGCACTCCCCTTCAATTTTCGTAAGTCTCTCTTTTATGTCTTTCAGCATTTTATCGTTATCAGCCTGTTTATCTCGGATACCTTTGATTTCGCTAAGTAGTGCTGATTGGCCTGTTTTTAGTTCGCGCAAGGCTGCTAACACATCTGAATGGTCGTCACCGGCAGAGGCACGAGTGGCAGGCCCTGGGTTTAGTTCGACATCGCCAGACAGTTGCAGGAGACTCATGATGATATTCACACAGTCGCAAAGAATGGCAAACGCTGCATGTGGGCCCGGCAGCACTAAAAGACCACGGTAACGCGTGGGATTAGTGAATAAGGAAAAGCGGTATGTTACCTGCACAAAGGATAGAGGCGTGTGGTGAGTTGGTGTCATCGCGATCGTGCCGCCGGACCCACTGAAAGCAGCGATGATGTCACGGCGATTTATATAGGTGCAGTCACGTGTGGGAATGGCGAGAGCGCGTGGTCCCTGACGAAGCATGCGCAGCACCGTGGGGGGCCGCACAGGCAAGGCAGCGGGAGCCAGGCACCATTGTTGATGCACGGCGTCAGATGCAAGGCTGTGCCCTGCGGACGTGGTCATTGGGTGGCATAGCCGCTCACCAGCATAGTCGTCGAGCAGAGGCCGGGGGCAGGATGGAGGGTTCCAAGGACGAACACGCATGGAATCGCCGACAAGACGTGCCGACGAAGCCTTCCAGAAGGACGACGATGGACCAGCCATGGTGTTGCCGAAGCGGTGAGCTCGGGTAGCAGTCATTGCCGCGGAAGCACTGGTGATAACACCGCAGGAGCAGCAGGCCATGACTAATAGCTGCACAAAGGATAGAGGCGTGTGGTGAGTTGGTGTCATCGCGATCGTGCCGCCGGACCCACTCACTTGAAAGGGTTATTAGTTACGCCAGCCGATCGCTATCCAAAGCAGAAGCAAATTATTCCACAACAGAAAAGGAGTGCCTCGCCATCATCTGGGCTACGTCGAAATTTCGCCCCTACCTCTACGGCAGGCCCTTCAAAGTTGTGAGTGACCACCACGCCTTGTGTTGGCTAGCCACCTTGAAGGACCCTTCAGGTCGCCTCGCATGATGGAGCCTGAGACTTCAAGAATATGACATTACTGTCATTTACAAGTCCGGCAAAAAACACTCCGACGCCGACTGTCTCTCTCGTGCGCCTGTCGACCAACCGCTACCCGACGACCCGGATGACGACTACTTCTTGGGAACGATAACTACCGACGACTTCGCTGAACGACAGCGGGCCGACCCGGAACTTAAGGCCCTAATAGAATACCTCGAAGGCAGGACCGCCGAAGTCCCGAAGGTATTCAAGCGCGCACTTGCGTCGTTCTTTCTGCGAAACGGTCTTCTACAAAAGAAAAACTTTTCACCGCTTCGAGCTAAGTATACTCCTTGTGGTGCCTTCAGCTCTGCGACCAGAACTCCTGCAGGCCCTGCACGATGATCCGACGGCAGGACACCTCGGTGTTTCTCGCACGCTCGCGAGGAGAAATGTACTACTGGCCACGTCTTACCACCGACGTCACTCGTTATGTGAGGACATGCCGGGACTGTCAGCGATGCAAGACACCGCCGACAAGGCCAGCGGGACTTCTGCAGCCAATTGATCCACCTTGCCGACCTTTCCAGCAGATTGGTATGGACCTACTAGGGCCGTTCCCGACGTCGGCTTTCGGAAACAAGTGGATCGTGGTAGCTACCGACTACCGCACCCGCTACGCCGAGACAAAATCCCTGCCAAAAGGCAGTGCATCCGAGGTAGCTAAGTTCTTCGTCGAAAATATCGTCCTACGTCACGGCGCCCCGGAGGTCCTTATCACCGCCAGAGGAACGGCATTCACTGCCGACTTAACTCAAGCGATCTTGGCATACAGCCAAACAAACCACCGCCGGACGACAGCGTACCACCCACAGACCAACGGCCTCACCGAGCGGCTTAAAAAGACGATCGCCGACATGCTGTCAATGTACGTCGATGTCGAACACAAGACGTGGGACGCCATTCTTCCGTATGTGACCTTCGCATACAACACGGCGGTGCAGGAGACGACGCAGATATCTCCATACAAATTGGTCTACGGAAGGAGCCCGGCAACGACGCTCGATGCCATGTTACCCAACGTCACCGACGAAGAAAACGTCGATGTGAGCGAGTACCTTCAACGCGCCGAAGAAGCCCGACAACTTGCGCGTCTCCGATCAAGAATCAACAGACGACCGACAGCCACCGTTACAACCTTCGACGACGCTTCGTGGAATACCAGCCCGGTGAACGTGTTTGGGTGTGGACGCCGATACGCCGACGTGGACTAAGTGAAAAGCTTCTGCGACGCTACTTCGGACCGTACAGGGTGGTTCGACGTCTCGGCCCACTTGATTACGAGGTTGTCCCCGACGGCATCACGAACTCTCAACGACGCCGATCGCGACCTGAAGTCGTCCATGTCGCGCGCCTCAAGCCGTTTCATGCGCGTTAACAAACTGAAACAGTGTTTTTTTTTGTATTATTGTTGCATCGTAATTTATTCATTGTACATTCTTGCATTATTATTGTACCTTCATCTTTAGTTAAAGCATCGGGACGATGCCTTTTTTCAAAGGGGGGCAATGCCACGTTCCATTTCCCAAGCTTCTGTTATCGTCCCAAAACACCACACGATTCTCAGCGCAAACCGCGCCTGCAGTTTTCGAGAAGGTTCCGGACTGTAGTAGATCATTTCGATAAGATCACGCCCAATGTGCGAACGGTACAGATTGTTCTGGAACCTACGCCACCGCCAGCGATAACGCTAGAACATTCGACGGCAAGGGTATAAATGCCGACGCGCTTCGCCGCTTGTCAGTTGTTGAACGAAGGCCGACGCTCCGTTCGCCGCTATCAGTCCGAGACTGCTATCTGTGCAAGACTGCTGCTGTAATTGGACTTTCCGTTTACTGGGCACAGGTTCACCCAAATAAACAGTTAAATCCCAACACGAAGTCTCCTGTCTTCGGTCACGTCACGACCCCGTGACAATATCATCAGTTTCACAAAGCTACACTCTGATATTTGAGCAGCAACGCACGGTGCTTCAGGCACCACGAGAATGATACGGATTTGTTTAAGCTTTCGGCTCCCTTGGGTTTCTTGGGGCCTGAATCCGCTTTGTCGTAAGAGGAAGTTCAGCAATTCTTAAGCAGCTACGCATTACCACCTTAACCTTTTTAAGCTCACCAATTCAAATTGGCACACAAAGTTCCCAATGATCCGTTCCTTTACTTGAAAACAAAAACACTGCAATAAACAAAACCACAAGTGCATTTGAAGGTCGCAAGCACGAAGACTAAGCAAATCCGTGTACTATCCATCGTATCCATGATGGCTGAACGATCACAGTGCCAGAGTCCCCTCTATAATTAATTGGTAAAGCTCTATGCGTTATGTGACTTCACAGGGACGTCATTAAGGCGTCAAAGTTTTTTTTTTTTTTTTTTGAATTGTGGGACGTCAGGATCACCTCGTGTGGTGACGTCATCACGTGATATTTTTTCTTTATCACTCGTCCCCGGCGCCGCCGACGGTAAATTTTTTGCGTTCGATGAGGCACCTCAGACTTTTGTGTTTAATAATTAGCTCATGGAATCATGACGGCAAAATCAGAATTCAAAGGAGAACACTAAATCTCTTGCAGCTTGTCCCTGTAGCTCAATATAAAACATGTATACGCAAATTGGTGCCTGGCACGTCAGCCAAGCGCCAATCATTGATAATAGTTGCAGCGAGTAAGCCGTCGATTAATTTGCATGAAGACGAAATCAAATTTGTCAACATTTATCGGTCGCGTGCTGGATTGATAGGTCCAACTATGCCACGCGCATGCGCAGATAAGTTTTCTTGCCTTCTTACTTTTGCGCTGTTGTGAGTCTCTTCAACTGTTAGTCAGCGTCTGTGGTGCACATGTGGTGCCTTCTTCGAGTGTTCGTGTTTGTGCGCCCTTTCATATAGAAGAAAAGTGCAGTAATATGCAACAGTACTGACAGTTGGGCATGGCTCGCTCCGCAACACACACGCGGATAGTAAGTGGACAACATTGTGCGAGTACTGTGCATTTATTCCGCGTTTGTGTTGCGTAGCCAGTCATAAAGGAATCTGACCTGTCAGGGCCGTGCGCAGGAATTCTTTCCCGGGTGGTGTTTTCATGTACAACGGCTAACTTTGGTGACTTGTGGTCGATGTCAAGGCATGTAAATTGCTTTAGTAACACCCGAAATGTTAAAGCACGAAAAAATTTCGGGGGATGTTGAACCCCCTTAACAACCCCCTATAGTTGCGGCCCTGCCTTCTATCACCTTCTTTTCAGGGTAAGAGCGACTGACTTCAGTGCTGTCATCTTCAGTGCTGTCATGCACACATCTGACCCCTTGTATATCAGGCATTGTAGTACTCCCTGTCTTTGGTGGTGATATATATATATATTCTGTCTAACCGCCACCGCGATAACGCACTCTGCTACAGTACACCGTGAAAATGAGCTGATGACCTTTCAAAAGAAGGGATGCCACACCGATGGGGAAATGAAATTGCCTAAAACACTGGACATTATCACTCTATCGCGTCCGTATGTAATATGGCGCAGTTGATATAGGCATTTTGAGCAACGCCTCGGTTTCCTGTCAGTAGCGAACGCCTTCCCAACCGCTATCGGAGTTCATACACGCAATAATGTGGGATAGCGATAAGGAAAATTGAGCATGTCGTTGTTCTGTGGCTGATGCAGCTCACTTCTATAGAAGGCTTTCGATGCGCCTCACCCACTTGCCCGAAATATTACTTCTCTCACTTGTAATCGTGAAACCGGAATTCACAGTGGCTGTCTTCCTTGCAACCCGGAGAAATTGAGCGGTAAGTTTGTGGGCCACCCTTACATTCTGCAAGGGTCGCGATTCTTTCGCGTGCACTTTTGCCTTCAGCGCTGTTCTGTGCTGCAAGTTTCACAGACAGACTTCAGCAAAAGCATAACAGCAAGAGCCTGTATTTCATTCTACGTGGTACCTAGGATAAATACGTTAAAATTGGCTTGCGTTTTTAGTACTTTCAATTTTTAAAATATAATTAGAACTGATATGGGTAGCTTTAGGAGATCAGGAAATGGCAGAACTGGTCAGGGAACAAATGGGGTCGCAGATATTGGCACCAAGCAAAAGAAAGGAACCTGGGGATGGCCACGTTATGTGTGTAGGACAGACAACCGGTGGATAGTAAGGACAACAGAATGGTCCCCATGGAATAGGAAACGTTGTCGAAGAAGGCTGTAGAGAATCAGAGTTACAAAATCAAGGACTTCGCAGGGATGTAATGGAATCGGCTTGCCCAGGATAGGGTAAACTGGACGTCATTGGTAGAAGTGTCCTGCCGAAGGCTGAAAGAGGATGATGACGTTTTTGATGTCTTCAAGAGCTGAAAAGATTAAAACCGGAATTTTTTTCGCTTCATACGTGCACAGCCATTTCCTCTCATTTTTTCCTGAACAGAGAGTGCGGTTTGTAAACATGGCTTTTCGGATTGTGTAGTTAGTTAAGTACCCCAGTTGGTCAAAAAATAGCCCCGTTAAAGAGCCCCAGACGATCAAAATTTTCGGAGCCCTCCACTACGGCTTCTCTTATAATCATGTGGTGGTTTGGGCACGTTAAACCCACATATCAATTAAAAACTTCGCTAACAGCCATTGTTTTCACAATGGAATTCGCTCTCACGGCTTCAATAGGTAGCGACATACCACATAGCAGGCGTGTATCCAGAAATTTTTTTTGGGGGTGGGGGGACCTCTTTGATTTTTTTTTTTTTGTGAGGGCACCCCCCTGAAATGGTCAATTTTCGCTGTCTATGACATGGCGGAGAAAAAAAATTTTTGTGGGGGTGGGCAGGCACGAGCCCGGTGTGCCACTCCCTGGCTACGACCCTGCCACGTATCACTGTTTCATCATCATCAGCATAATTACGCCCACTGCAGGACAAAGGCTTCTCCCATTTGTTACCCATAAACTTGGTCCTGCGCTTGCTGCGGCTGCGTTATACCCGCAAACTTCTTGATCTCATCTGTCCACCGCAGCAGTAACTAGTTATGCATCCGCTTCCAATGCGGGAAGTATGTAGGGTCTGCGAAGGCCTCTGAGAGTATACCAGGGCCTTGCTGAAATGGTTGAGCATCCGCCACTTCTGTGTAATGTAGGTAATTGCTGCCGCCAGGCACCTACTGGTTAAATGGGCACTAGCGCAGAACTAAGTTCATAGTCGCTTGGGAGGGTACCCGCCCTGTAGGAAGGTGGCATGGGACCGCCAGACCTAAAATTGAGGTCATCTTTATCTCTTTTTTTTTTCTGCATGCGCCTTGCACTCTTGCCTGCTTTTGCGATCCAGTCAGTTTTTTTTTTAATTATAAGCAGTTATCTCAAATTCTCGCTGCATCCCTGCCCATGTCAATTTCTTCTTGATTTCGACACCTATAGTTTTTTTTCCAAAGCTCGCCGCTTCTCAATAATCTTTAATTATAATAGCTAAACCTGCACATCATGTCCTTTAAGTATACAAAAACCAGGATTTACCATTGTTATGTTGTTCCTACTACAGAGTACATATTGTGACTGTCATATAACGATGACTGCTTGTTAGCGGATATACACTTAACTCATATCATGTACCTCTCCCATGGTTATTATATTGTGCAATGTTACTCGCAGACTAGGAACTAGAAAGAGGACGTATTGCACCCGAGATCGTCAACGCAATCGCGAAATGGTCCCCCTTTTGTTCCGTTCATTGTTGTGAAAGAACAAAGGATGGAGCACAGAGGTGATAAGCAGGGACACTTCTCCCCGTGTTGCCACCCGAGAAACAGCGTTCGCACATTGCGTTACGCCGAATTCCGATGCAAGCCTTGCGTCGGGTCCACCTTGCTGCTCGATAACATTTAGGCACGAAGCGTCTGCGTGTCAAGGCGTCGTCACCGTCCATCAGAAACTGCTACTGTGCGTCACAAAAATTGGGGAAATACTACCACGCGTCAACGGTCCATACTGTGCACATTATGAGTTAAAGGCTTGTCGTTACTGCCTAAAACGTTATGTTTGACTTGGCATCGCTGTGAGAATCCCCGACGAAATTTACCAAGGCGCATCATGTTTCTTGTGTAAACTAGCGATAAAAACATGCATCTATTCGGTAAAGTTACCTCTTTCAAAAACCACTTCTTGAAACATATCTGCAAAGTGATGGTGTGATATAGTAGACCGCGGGCGAGTAAAGCAGTAATTAAAGGGTCATTCCACGCCAAACGTTCCAGCCATTTTGGCGACCATCTCACATGTATTCGAAAAACATTGTGCTGACTTACTGCTTTGAAAACAGTGAACTGCTTGAATATTTCGGAGATAAAAAAAAATTGGTCACGGGGCTGCCTTCTCAACTTCCTGGAAGATCATTTGGGTGTTGTTTATAGAAAAATTATTGTAAAAGTACCGCTCCTTCTTTCTATACCAAATTTGGTCTAGGTGTTAAATAAAGGTGTTTGTGTAAGGCGTTTGAAGCTCAGTAGTCAGTGCAATTTTAATACACATACGCCTCCAAGAATTCAGCCAAAATGTGTTATGTTTGTATTTTTTCTATTGCTATACTGCACTTTGTATCAATATCTGAGTAGTAAATGCTTACTCTACAGAAGATATATTTCGAGAAAAAAATAATTTCAGACCTTTCAAGCTGCAAACTTTACAAAAACAAATCACGAATTTCGCAAAATTGCTAGTTTTTTCCATATATAAATGTAATTTCCACCATGTGGTAGTACATTTAAATCAAAAACAAATAAAGGGTTCTTTCATATGGCACATTTTATCAATATTTTTTTGTTTTAAGGAATAAAATAATTTTTGAACTGTCCCATTGACGGCAATGAGGAATTTCAAGGCGGCAGCTGTCGTATGACCAAATGGGAAGATGCGCCGATGAGAAGGCTTTGCTGTGGAAAACACTGGCGCGCACTGCCCGCTTCGACCCCTCCCCGGGTTTCACGCAGGTGTAGCTAAAGCACCCTTACCTGTTTTAAATGTGCTTTTACTCGACGTGATGGCCAAACGCGAAACCCGAGCATCTTGCACGATATGTACATGTGCAATCGCGACTTTCGACCGAGTATCTGAGCCGCATAAATTATTGCTGCCATTATTGGCAATCCAGATGCGGAATCGGCAGCCCGCTGAGCAGCGGATACCGCATCTGTATATTCACCAAGAAGGTCGGCGTATAGTTAAGAACCTACACGGAAAAATTATTATGTATATTTTCATCAGAATAAATAAACGTGCAGGTCAGTATTAGTCCTCGCTTGGTACTTTGCGTGTTGTAGTAAGGAGGTGATGGAGAGTAAATAATAAATAGAGCTGGCGTTTAGTTTATGAGAACTGCGGGTAGAGATACCAGCTGTATTACAGCCTAGGAATAAATGCAAGCTCCACCCCCAGTGCTGCGGCGCTGCAGTTTCGATGACGGCCGGGTGGCTTCCGTTGTGTTAGGTGCTATAGCACAGCAGAGCCACGTGGTTTATGTTCTAACCACAAGTACTTTCCCGCTCCTATTGTAGATACCACTCATAATATGAATTAATAGTTCGTCATTTCTACTTGAGATATTAAGTTTTCGCAAGCAGTGGTGTCCGAACCATCGATGAGGAAGACGCAGCCATTACGTACAACGTCATCACAAAACAATTTTACCTTGAACGCCGCATTTTTTTTTCGCCCCCACATCCCAAACTTAACAGGCCGCAGGCGCTAACCCTACACTTATTGCATACGCACACCTACCGAAACCTTGCCAAGCTTCACGTTTTCTATCATGATGCTTACACCAGCGACAAGTTCCCCTCATGCAGACACACAGCGACACACGCACAGATGCTCTGGGAGCGTATAAACGCTACTCGCGAGCGACTCTACCTCAAACACGTGTGAGATATCCCTCAAAAGCTCGCTTCTCGCCGCCATCTATTCCATGCCGGTCCCTAATAGGGTGCCTGATTGGCTTTCCCTCGCCCGCCCCTCCGTCACGGAGCGGTGGGTGGGGAAAACCATTAAGGCACCCTAGTCCCTACACGGCAAACGCCCGCTACGTGCTAAGCGCGTCCTGTAGGACAAGAATAACGTTTTTCCATTCCATTCCATTCCAGCTTCCCGACCGGACAGTTGGGAACGTCGATACGATTCTTTGCAACGCAATCACCAAGTGGGAACAGACGAGAATAGACACACCGCTCTGTCTCCCTCTTGGCTGTTGCGCTGATAATGATTGTAATGTAAAAGACGCGACACTGACATGTGTTTGTGTCTGAAAATCACCAAACTAAGCACGCGAAACGTGCTTGGTGTCACGGAAACGAGAAAATGTAATTGGACAGGGCATGAATGCAAGTTTTCTCTTGTTGGGACAGTGAAGTCGGCTGAGGGCGGAGCTTACATTTACCCTCAGGTTGTAACAGAATGTCGAGCAACCATCGAGTCGCAAATAAGACAAACACAGGGGACACTGTATGCAGGCCAGTGCTAACAATGGACGACGAGCTTGCTTAAGCTTTGTCGCTCCAACTCGTCTCAGAAGAAGCCTGGTTATGGTGAACGGTTCGATTTTATAAAATCAACTGCACTTCCGCCTAAGAAATGAAAAAATAAACAGCCGTGAGCAGGAATCGAACCTACGACCTTCGAAAAACGCGTTCGATGTGAATAACGCGTTCGAGCATCGAACGCGTTATTCGAAGGTCGTAGGTTCGATTCCTGCTCACGGCTGTTTATTTTTTCACCCACTTTTATTTCTGCTTATTTACATTCCATTGGTTCCAGTAACTTCCCCTGTACATTCCTTGGCATTACTGTCTGTTAGATCTACGGAAGAAATACGGTTGATATGTTCACCTGACCGTCATTCCCAGGAATTGAGGATGGATGGAGGTGGCGCCACCTCTCGGCGGCGGGAGTAGCAGCCTGCCATAACTGAATGGGCAATAGACCGGAAGATTCATATATCTTGAACAAAGCCAGTTATCAAAAATTACTCCGGGTTATATGTAGCAGAGACCCACGGTACAATTCGGCAAAACTGCAGTATCGCACAACAAGGCGGGTGCCTTCCCAGGACAACACCACCCGTAGAAACACATCAGATTTCATTGCTAAACACTCTGGGAAGCCACGTGGTTTGTAGTGCAACACTGTAACTTTGCCAGACTGTTCAAATAAGTCTCTACTGTACTGTAGAACTGGGAGTCGTTTTTGATAACTAGCTTATTTCAAAAGATGTGAATTTCTTCGCCTATTTCTCATTCAGTTACGGCAGGCTGCCGCTGTGGCCGACGAGAGTGGCGCCACGGGCAGATGTCTCCAAATCCTGGTCATGTCTGATATCTTTATGAAGTATAAAGTAGATAGCGATTTCGTTAGACTGCTTGACGTATTCAAATGTATAACTTGATTTGCTCGTTTGTTCACAGCACGACTACCATGAACGCCTATCCGATATTGGCCCTCCTAATCCTGGGACATCTGAGTCGTAAGTCATAGCACTGCGCATATCTTATACGTCTGGTGGTTTCCTCATTTAGTAAGTAAGATTCCTCTAGTCTCGATACGTCCCAAATGATGTGTGATAGTTTATGTTCAAATTCGTTCAAAATAGATGGGTTCATGATTGTTAGTATAGGCATACGAGGGTCACAATATCAAGCGACTACAGCGGGACCCTCGGTCAACAATAGAGCTACGTATCATTTTTTACGTAACAATGGCATTGAAATGATTAATTATTGCAGCGCGTCAATATTACACAAGGCAAACGTAAGTGAATGGTGAACTTACTAGAAAGAGAAATACTCCACCTTGAATGCTACGCAACAGGGAACTATACAGCGTACGCCACGCAAACAAACCAGCTTTCACATTTCGTAGCATTCACGTCGCCTTTTATTTTAGTGGCCCCTCAATGACACTCGACTGACCTGTACAATACAAAAGTGACTGTATCAGCATATTTTTCTCTTTCACTCTAACTTTTGCAGTGATATGATTTCATTATATATACAGTGGCTAATTGGGCTATAGTAGTAATGAATACTCCTATACCATGAACTGAGTGTTTAGGAAAGCAGAAGTGTTATGAGGCACTCATGAGAACGTGGCGTTGTAAGAAAGCGGCGACTTCGACACTAAATGGTCCGAGAAAAGTGACGTGACACTTCGCCTTTGCGAAAGCGTGAATTTGACATGATAAAGAAGATAAACGAATAGAATTTTCGTCAACTTTAACAAATATTCGTAAAGTATTAAGAATGCGTGTATATATATATATATATATATATATATATATATATATATATATATATATATATATATATATATATATATATATATATATATATATATATATATATATATATATATATATATTATGAAGTCTTGGTAGTCTTGGCTGCGACAGCGTTTATTTGAGAAAAGACCTCGCAAAACGAACGGGCAGAGCCAGCACACAGACGATGACGATGATGATGACCCAGAGTGGCAATGAGGGCAAAGAGACAAGCGGATGATGGTGATTGTGATTATGCAGGGATGAGGACGATGTAAGTTACAAATGCCCACTATATATATATATATATATATATATATATATATATATATATATATATATATATATATATAACGCTGATTATTACGCTGTATGTTGAACTTGCTCAATGACACATCAATTGCGGTAATTATTCGATATATAATTCTTTCTTAGTAATCATGAATTCTTGAAATTATCGTCTAAATGTTAAAATGAGGAATTCGCGATCAACCCCAAGAGTGGCTTTATACATGAATGTTGCGGAAACAAACCCGACCAAACCTGGCTCAGTAGACGTCATGGAAACCTTTTGCGGAGTGGTGCTGGCTGCTTGGCGAGAATAAAAAGTGGCTTTCGTGTGACTCGGCCTACAGATGGACACGCATTAGAAAATACTGAGCCAGGGCCTCAGAGTTTCCTAAAGTTAACTAGAGGAGACTCTGGTGCTGCGATCGTTCAGGGACCATGGAACGATGGGTAGTACACGAATTTGCCTAGTCTTCGTTCTTGCAGGCCTGGAATAGCACTTGTGACTTCGTTTATTGTTGTGTTTCGGTTTTGGCATCAAAAAAAAAAAAGAAAGAACGAACTATTTTAAACTTTGTGAGCTGATTTGAAACGGTAAGCCAAAAAGATTAAGGTGGCGAAGTTCAACGCTGATCGTTTGTTGATTTTGTTTCGTGACAAAACAGCTCCGAACCACGCGAACACAAACGGAGCCAGAAGTACGAAGATTAGACAAATCCGCGTACTACAATATATATAGTACCCAGAACGTGTTTTATTTATTTTATTTCAAAATACCCCTAAAGACCCTCGAAGAGGGTATTACATAAGGGGACATATAACAATAAATGGGAAAATAACGGAGTGGAAGTAAAGCTAAAAAAGCACAATCTTAACACTTGGCTGGTATACATTCGGTAAAAGTGTTTACCAGCCGATGAATGTATATAAGAATGCATATATTCTAGGCACTATAATACTACCCATCATTGCCATGTTCGCTGAAGCGCCGTGCGTTGCAGCTCCCATATAGACATTAGCGCCAGAATTCGCTCTATTCTATTTATAGGAAACTCTATGCTATAGTGGCTCGGCTGGTAAGCCGAAGGTGTGTGCAACGCACCAGCAGGCTCGACAAGCATGCATGACTATAGACAAACGGCTCGCTGAATTCTAATGTCACTCTTTAGACAGTTTTTAATTAATCGTCTCCAAGGCCTTCGCCCTGCAGCATCGTCTTATCGATATATGCGAGCCTCGAAATGTCCATACCCAAAATGAAATGGGCGCATTGTCATTAAACCTTCTGTTGGTAGTATGCTCTTGTCGCCATATTTTTACCGTCATGCGCATTCAACTTCCGTGTTGTAGGCTTTCTCTGTGATCAATAAAAAAAAAAAGACGTCGCCACACGACACACGAGGACACACGGCGCTGAACTCCTTGCCAGTCCTCTGGTCCAGTTTTGACATGCGCTTAGAGAAGCTATTCAAGATAGTGTAGCAACAAGCCCTCGCTATTATTTCGCAAACCTAATATTAATTTCATTCTATGCTTTGGAAACTCAGTTATTCCCGTTGTTAAAATAAAGGAAGCTTGCATATATTAATGCTATTCATCATCATGCTAACTGCACCCCACTGCAGGGCGAAAGACCATCACATGTTTTGCCAGTCAACCCGGTCATGTGCTTGCTGCGGCCACATTATCTGTAATCTCATCTGCCCTCCTAAAACTTTCGGACTTTCTTTTGTACTAATACCTTTTAAGTTCGCGCACATTGTTTTTGCATCATCCCTTCCCTCTCGTATTTCAGAAATTCAAGCTGCTACTTTGAACAAGCCGTCAAAAAATGGAAACGCCCTGAGAAAACAGCTGGTGGAAAAGATTTTGGATTCACTTGAGGACGAATGTGAAGGCCGTGGCGAAGCTCTGAAGGCGCTGAAAAGATCGCTTAGTGCAGTCATCGACGAAACGGACGAACAGTCCATCACTGTCGTGGCTATTCTCATTGCTGCTGGAATCGCCGGTGGCATCATAGGTGGAGCCGCAGGCGGTGCTGCTACATCTGCCTTGGGAAAAGCTATCGGCAAATAGGTCCGATGAACCTTTGGATCCCAACTAATGTCATGAGCTGGTTTGATTTTACGTGAGTTCTGAAGGTTAATAGACGACCACGTCTTAGCCTCTTCCACCATATTCTGTAACGAGGTGGGACTTTCAGTTCTCGAGGAAAGACGTGGACCAATACAGAAGGCTGTGTAATCTAGTAGAACCTCTCACAAATCCACGTGACTTCAACTACCATGTTTGCTTTCACACAACCAGCATTCCTTCGCGCTGACTCGGCTGATAATAATAATGAGAAAAACTACTTTGACTTCGTAGTCACTTCGGGCAAATGCACGAGCGAGCGTGTGAGTTTTTCGTTCTTACAACATGTCACCACCTTCATCTATACTCCTGCTTCACTAATTAAAATATTCAGTATCGGCTGAAAAGTGTGAGGAAGACGCGCCCTATCTTTGACATGCGCCACATGTACACGTACATGGGGGGTGGGGGGGGGTGAAACACGAACGTCGTGACACTCTGCTTCTATCTCGTTATGACCATAGTGGCAATAGAAAGATGCTTCTTGAATGTATCGGGAAAGACTTTAGTGTCCTTTAATTACCATCTAAGATACAGTCACCTTCAAGAAATGGCAAACAGCAGAAAAGGTAGACGCCGTGCTGTTCGCATTCCTTTCCATTCCCACAGCATACGCACGATCAATATAAATTATATACTGCTTCAGCATAACCCACGTCGACAACGCTAGCTGTCCTTGACGTATATCATGCATGTGGTTGCGTAACAAGCCCAGTTAGCAAGCGGTTTGCAGGACCACGTCGGTGGTCTATACTGGTAATGGTGCACGACGGCTGACCCGCAGGACGCGGGACCGAGTCTCGGCCATTGTGGTAATGCTGCCGGTTCGCGATAGGCGAATTCGGATTTCTTTTTTCACCGGGTCGCTTCCAGAGTTTTGCAGTTGCTTGTGGCTTGTTTTTTTTTTCGTGGTGGTGGTGGGGGGGGGGGGGGTGGAGGCTTATTGTTTTTTTTTTTGAAGATGTAGGTATTTTAGAAATGATCACGTTCACCAGTGGCGCTTTGTCGTTCGCTAATACCACGCTTGTCAACGACTGTGTAACGAAGGCCACCAACGTTGGGCAATCAACAAGTAACCTGAATCATTCCCTGGCAAACGTGCGTTCAACTGCAGAGGTCCGATGGAGGCGGAAATGTTGTAGGCCCGTGTGCTCAGATTTGGGTGCACGTTAAAGAACCCCAGGTGGTCGAAATTTCCGGAGCCCTCCACTACGACGTCTCTCATAATCATATGGTGGTTTTGGGACGTTAAACCTCATATATCAATCAATCAATCAATCAATCAATAAAATCAATCAACTGCAGAGAGATAATGTCAGCTACCCTGGAGATAATGTCAAAAAGTAAAATGAAAGTTCATTATACTACTGCTTCCTTTAGCCTTCTTCGCAAAAGTTGCCCCTCCCGCCCCCTTTTTTTTTTTGGGGGGGGGGGGGGGCTTTTTTTCTTATGATTATTCGCTTGTTATAGATCGATAAGGCCTGGCCGTTGTGCATTTCTAAGGATGCGAAAGCGCTGCAAGCCCGTGTGTTCAGATGAAGAGCTGAGGCCGTGTGCACGTTAAAGAGCTCAGATGGTTGAAATAGCCGGAGCCCTCCACTACTAGACCATTTCGTGGTTTCGGTTCGCAAAACCCGAACCGTATTTACTATTAGTTGGCGATATTAAATTTTATTCGATTCTGCATTTTCCATTCGCGTGATACATGTCGCTTAGTCATCTGATGCGGTCACATTAAAGAATCGCTTCCATGACTTATACGTGAACTGCCCTACTCAAACAAAAAACAATTACGGCCACTTTTCTAACACGCAGCGGCATTCAGTGATCCCAAAACCAGCATTCTGGTAATTTTGATGTCGTACGCACCTGAGGTAATATCTTCTGCGTAATGATCAGCCCAAGAAAATTGATCTAATTGAGTTGTTAAACAAAGTAATCTAAATAACTAAGATCTTTGGAAGTCGCCATAAGTTATTACACCTATAGGCTTCAAAGAGCTGACTTGGGGCAATATAATCGTTTTTATCTTCTAGACATTAAAAAAAAATCGGCCCTTTCGCACGTTCAGGAGAAAGACCTCCTACACATTGGTATTTTGTTGAGGTAACACTTTATAATCTGCATTTTAAAAAATCTTGAAAATTGCTGTTGTTGTTAGTTCACATGTGGCGCATAACCACGGGTGGGTGTGAATCAGGAATGGGAATGTTTGCGTTAATAAAATGGAGTTTTATCACTAAATACAAATGTATTAATGAAATACTAGTTGCTGTGTAACGATTTTCAGAATATAACAAAATTTTTACCCGCTCCTTTTCGTGTGCCGGTATGGAATTGAAATGCCAATGTCGGAAAAAATATAGGTATTTCCACACGGCACATGCATGAGCGCACAAATTTGAAGAGTAGCAAATATTTTGCTGCGGGCTCTGCTCTGCACGAAGTGACGCCCCAATATGTCCACCACAGAGAAAAAAATATTTACGGAAGTATACTGCTTCCCCTTTGTTATATTCAACGTCATTATCATCATGATCATTACTATAATAATCATTGCCATCGTGCTTCGATTCTTTCTTTTTGGCACGGGACGTTAAATTAATATCAGTTGTAATAAGAGTTTTTTTGGTACATTTTCTCAAACGCTAAAAATTCCTCCGTAATTCAGTTACTTTTTCACCATATAAATTACCCTACTCTCAATTTTCATGTAAATTAAAAAACGCTCAATTCTTGGCCAAACCATTAATGTGGGTGTTCTAAGTATTCTATGAGTCATTACTTATAGAATTCTAAGGTGATAACTTTTACCTATAAATCATTCGTTTCTTAGCTTATCCCCCAGTGTAGATGTGAGCCAAACATGTAGGTCATCATCATCATCATCATCATCATCATCATCATCATCATTACTGCTGCCCCAACAATAAAGAGAAGTGACTGCGTTGCGTAAGTACCAGATGTTAAGTGCCTTGATAGACAAGACTGTCTTCCAATAGCGTCGGCACATCGCTGGCGTGCCTTCCTCATTGAATTATAAGCACTAAAGCTAATACATGAGACTGTTTGCTGGCATAGTTGGTACTTGCTTAATGACATATTTTAGCAGGGAAATAACCCAGACATATAGCTCTGTGTGAGTGTCATTTCGCGCCTAAAATATAGGTCACTAAGGTATACGAAGCGGGATTTCACTGAGCCTCACATGGGCGTTACTTTCCGTCTTATGGCGCTGCATCAGGCAGATCGCAGCTGAATTCCCAGCTTTTGGTGCTCTGTCCAAATAAAGCAGCACAAGCGCAATTTACAGCTCGCGCCCTGTCTCCTGGTACAACTGTAATTCGTCATCGCCTCCGCTTTCCTTTACGCTCTGTGTGGACACACTACGTCGTTTGCCTGATGGTCACGGTTTCGATCCCGTTCGTGCCGGTTGTATTTCGTAATGACAGGGGCTCGTGTACTTAGCGATGTTAGTACACGCTAAAGAACACCCGGTGGTAGAAATTTCCGGAGCTCTGCACTACGGCGACCCTCATAACCATGCCGTGGTTTTGAATGTAAAACCCATATAGTTAATGTCACTCAATGGTACAACCCCCAGAAAATGTGTCGTCATACGGAACTGCCGTTGTTGCCTTTTTCTTGCAGCTGACCGACGACGCCCTGAGTGACTTCCGTGCCGTCGGAGTTTCTCATTCGATATTTTTTTTCGCAAAAACGGAGTGTATACTCACAATCGAACGACCTTGCCCATGGCAAGACGTTCACACCTCTTGAAGCTTTCTGTGCGTTTCGCTGATTCCTCTCGCTTCGATTGTCTCCATCCTGAGCTTTCAGGGCTCGATAGGTACGTATGCAGGAAAAATTGAGCCTTTGACAAAACGTACTATATGCATTGGCTGTACTACTTGCACCGACATGCGAGCCCTGGTCGCGTTGCTGAGGTCTGACACCGTGTATGTAAACCCCTGGAACTGTCATGTAACAAGGTCTCACTGTGACTTTGCTACTCGAATTCAACAAATGTATAACCTCACAGACAAATAGGCTAGAAATAGCGATCGCTCACCTGCCCCTTCGTATGAATAAGGAAACTTGTGGAAATTTAAGGGCTCGTGTTTCTTTCTTAGACAAGATGAGCACTAACAGACGATGATGCCCAGAAACGTGTAGAGGATGGTAATCGCAATGTAAATGCGAACAAAGAAAAGTGGACGAAAAGGGCACTTTCAGTGACTCTCCCATAATTTAAATTCACAAGCCACATAAAATGGACGGTGGTATAGGACGTACCGCTGCTATAGCTCTGTTGACAGAGCATCGGACGCGTTATTTAAAGGTCGCGTGTTCGGTCTCTGCCAGTGGAAAATTGTTTTTTCATTCAATTTACTTTCTTCACATTTGCATTACATTTACTACTAATAACATCATCTACATATAGATCATTGTCGTACGTTCCTCATTAAAAATTAGGAAGAAAATCAGTTCTTTCCTGACTACAGACCACGGCGTAAGAAAAATAATTTAGGTGCGGACAAACTTCGACTGCCATGACGAAGAGCACGTCCAGATAATGTCTGGCTCGCCGGCCGCATTTTCGTGTGGGTGCGGCGACATGGGGGCCGATATTGTTACATATGGTAGGTTACATAAGGTAGCACGTACAGTAACTTTACTGGTTGAGGGGAGGAAAGAGGCGAACATTTTCTGGACATGCCTTCGGGCGAAGTGTACACATCTTCATTATTTTTCTTACACCCTGCTTCAGACAGAGCCAATAGATGGCGGGTTAGCTGCGAATCATCTGGATGGACCTTTCTTCCTGCAGTTCGACGGTGATGGTACTAAGAGATTCCATGCGTCTATTCTTAAATGTGGTCATCGGCATTCACCTCGTCTTACTTTCTTCGTCTTGTTTGTAGCTTAATTAGGGTAAGGCTTCATTGAAAGTGATGTGCACAGTTCGATTAATGACGATGTTCGTGATATCGCTGCGTTGCTGAGCACATGCATACCTACGGCTTTCCCACAAAATTAATGAGGCGACTTTACGTGTGAGGGTCGCTCATCTTAGACTGCATCATTACGCTTACTAAATTCCTACCATTGCTGTTGAAGTTCGCTATTGGTGTGGCACACACACACACTCACGCGGACCCCGAAAGAAAAAAAAAGACAGAAAATATGACTTTCGTTGGTGTGGCACTGTATAAAGGCATGCAGTGCCACACCAACTAAAGACGTATTTTCTGTCTTTTCCCACTACTGCGCGATTTTTTTTCCAACTACTGTCACGCTGCATATTTTAATTACGGACTTGTTGAGCCTGTTGAGTGTTAGGTGACACTTTTTCTATACGCCTTCTCGTACGTAGAAATGTTCCGTTGTGCGCTTCAGAGTAGCGTGGTTGCAACTCTATACTCGCTAGATGGCCAGACGCAAGATCTTGTTTCAATGTAATGTCACTTCTCGTGGCCCGGACTGTACTTCGTTTTTGCAGAAGTCACTATACCGACGATGCGTTTTTTGAATCAACGAATCAGGCCATCCGCACATGACCAGCCCGCTATCGAGGATGTTCCAGAAGGCAACACGACGGGTAGGTATTTCTGTCCTGGAACCTGTATTGCTGTTGGCCCAACAGAAAGCAGACAGATGTGGACATGCACACGATTTGTTTTCTTGTTTCTTTTTGCTGTAGTTTCGAGCAACCGTATTGATCTTTATCGCAATCGCCCCGAAAAAAATTGTTGAGTGATTTTCATGGACCACCCCTGCATGCTTAGGAAAATGGAATGTCCTTGGCACAATCGATATCGGCGTGCTCGGGACAAACAGCGCCGTGTGTGTCGCCATCTTGCCACTCTGGCGACCGCTCACATGTGCAAATTTTTTCTGTTGAGACTGCTCACGAAAGTGTTGCTATTCTTGCGTAAATTTTCCTTGTTTTGTTAGTACATAGAAATGAATGTGTGCATATGCGTAGTTACAGAACTAGGTGCATCACTCTGGTTTACTTGAATACCTTCTTTCCCAACAGGCTACTTCTGGCACTTCACTGACCTTCATCTAGACAAGGACTACTCGACGCAGGGCTCTCAGAAGCTCTCGTGTCACCGCATCAATAAGGGTCCAACTGGCTTGAGGACCGTCGGTCCTTACGGAGACTTCCTATGCAACACGCCCAAACTACTGGCCACGTCTGCCTTCGCTGCCATGGAACGGATTAAGCCGGACGTAGATTTCATACTCTGGACAGGGTAAACATGTTTCTGAACACTTCGTAATGCAGAACCTGCTGTCCGACGGCCCGCTGCTTAGATGCGGGCTAGCTAAGGAATTGATTGATTGATTACGCACACCGCAAACCAGATATTGTCATATCTCAATAAAATGAGACGCCGTGGTTTCTCACGCTTAATAGACTTTTTGTCAAGCAATCCCAGAGTGTTTCGCAAACGCCTTGAGTACTATATGGTAAAAGTGCGTACGTACGAGCCTGAAGTTAAGTCGCCTGCTGCTCGTTGGTGCAACGGGAGCATGAAACGAAAAGAAGGCGTCAGCACTTTTTGACTATTCTTACATACTGCACACACCCGAACGGACGTGAGGGTATCGCTACGCATAAAATGCGAAAGAAAAAACAACGCAGTCACTGTATACGTATTGCTCATCGGATGTATGTCGAATGTAGATGCCGAGTGGCACGCGCGGGATCACGTACCGATAACGCCAAGACGCACTATCATGAGCAATATAATCTAGAACACCGAATTTATGTTTATTGGACGATTACTTCCAATGCACTGATATGAGCGCGACGTATTGAATTGCAAGAGGCACTTTTTATTTGAGAATTCAGTGTTATGCATTCTTCTTCGCTTGCCGCTATGTGGCCCTAAATGTGTAATTTCAGAGCTCCATCCCATATTGTTCACGACTATCGATATTTACAGTATACATATAAATAACGAAAAAAGAACTCTTAGGACTCTCTCTCTCTTTTGACGCAGCCTAATTAAAACCAGCAGATAATGAAGCCAAGGGAAATGTGAGGATCGTTAATGGCGCCGTTTTAAGTGTATTTTAACAATTCTGATATAGATATAAAGAAAGAATGGAAAAAAAAGACAACTTGCCGCCCCCAGAGACCGAGCCTTGCAACCTTTGGATAACGCGCAAGGTGTTCTTGCCAACTGAGTTTCGGGTCGGTCGTCCCTTCGTCCACTGTGTCGGGTATTTATGTTCATGCAAACATTAGAGTGTTAGTCAACACAGTTAAAACAGTACAAGTAACGTCCCCTATATCTTTCTTGGCCTCAATATCTGCTTGTTTTCATTAACATTAGAGTATATATCAGGGGTATCAAACTCAAATCAGCTAGCGGACCGCAGTCATGTAATTTTATCCCACAAGGGTCGGAACCGCAAAGAAGGTTGAAGTGGTGTGGGGGTAAGAGTGGATTGAACAAAACATTGCCCCCACTTACCTGAAGGGAATCGTGAGGAGATGCGAATGCATTTCTTGCACCGAGAGTACACGGCGTCGTAATTTTAATGGCGTAAATTAATGACGAGACGAGGATTTGTAGCGTAACGATTTATTTACACATTCATCAGCCAGTGAGCGTTCGGTCGAGAGTGAAGCGCGCGCTTCATTTATATGTACGTATGAGCGAACGAACGGAAGTGTGGGGCGCAAGGAGGAGAGCGAATGGTGAGAGGAGGAGCGGCGCAGCACTGCCCCTACACTCTCCACACACGCGGGAGCTCAGCGAGCGCCCTCACAAGCTAGATCGCGCTCCTCCTCTCCACTCACTCTTCGCTATTCAGCCCGCACCAACTGTTCCGGTTGCTGTGGGAGAGGGAGTGAGAGCGAAAAGATAACCCTTGTTGGCGCGCGGACACCGACAGACGCCTGACATGCCCCGACTAAGAAATGCATTCTCATTTTAAAAATATGGCGCTTCGGAAGCGCTCAGCTTACGGCTCAGCTGATCCAACACGCGGAAATGCTAGACAACTCGAGATCGTTGAGAGGTCATCACACCTCAACAAAGCCGTTCATGATTGAATTAGCCAGTTATAAGTCGAACCTTTTCTATCTATTTTACTTTGGAAGTAGTGGCACGGTGCAGGCGGTAACCTAAATGTGAGGCCCGCGCGATTGTCGTGGCGGATGCTGAAGCGTACACTTTTCCCATGAGTGCTTGCGCTCTCGTTGGTGGCGTTCTTGTGCTTGAAAAAATGTATGTAATCTTAGCTCGTAGAGCATGCTCGTGAATTTTGGGAGTCATTTTTCTGACACATCAGTAATGTGTCTTTTTCCGCCGGTTGGCATATCCGTGCTGCCGTTCGTGCTGCTTGAAAATGTAAAGATACAGTCGTTCGGCGCGCATTGTCATGCGCCTTTATGACGTTATAGGGACAACATGCCCCACGTGAAGGGAATCACGTGGTCGGCCCTGTACAGCCAGACAGACTGGGTTCGAGCTGTGCTATCACGTCAAGCATTGCGACATCGCGCCCTGCTCGTGCCCACCCTGGGAAACCACGACTGGGTTCCAGCGAACGCCTTGGATTCCGAAGACGCAGCGCACTACCGAGGCTTCCTCAACGAAGCCGGGTTCAGACGACTGCTTCCTGTAGATGGGCGAAGCACCTTCGAGCGCGGTCAGTTATTAAACCCCAATGCTTTCGGGGCCTTTCGATTCCGTAAAAGGACAGTCTACTGGGATAGTTGGGTGGTATTCCTTGTCTGCAGTGGGCGTAATTGTATGCTGATGATGACTATGCTAATTTGTCATTTGTTTAAAACATTCACTAATGAAATTAGCACGAAAGTGAAGCGCATGCACGATTACTAACTGGAAACGAGGATGAACGTCACTTTGAACTGTTTATCTCGACTGACGCACCGTTCGATAAAAAACGTTCTGCCATGCTTTTTGCCCGTGTAAAGGGGAATGAACAAGGCTGTCGCGCACTTATTTGAAAAAGCAGTCTGAGAAGTAAGCTTTTTCATCGGTTTTGCTTGGGACCGTGCCCTATAATTTTGGCACTTCTTTCGTTAATTAGCTTGCTGTAGTAATCAGTAAAATACTTTATATTTGCAGCAAATCAGTCCTGTGGAAGGTAAATTGATTGATTGATTGATTGATTGATTGATTGATTGATTGATTGATTGATAGGTCGATCATCCACACGTTTGCAGCAAGAACCTAAAAGGCAATCCATGCGGAATATTTTGAAAGTTATCAAAAAACTATTGCACCGCCGCAGACACTGCCACAGCGATGATAACTTTCTAATGCGCTTTTTAACTAAATTGCAAAAACTTTTCTTTCATAAATATTCTTCTGCCTTGCGAACTTACGAACAACTGATTTGCCATAATTTAGACGTTTTCTACACAGGTGGCTACTACAGCCGGTCGCTGTCGAAGAATATTCGGCTGGTGTGCATCAACTCTGCTCTCTGGTACAGCGTCAACAAGGGCCAGCGTCCTGGACCCAATGATCCCCAGATGGCTTGGCTGAAGGAAGAACTGCACGACGCGCAGCGTCTAGGACAGAAGGCACGGACTGCGGTGCCCTACAACCGTTGACATTCTCGTTTTGTTTAGGAACCGTATACTAATATCGTAAAGATAGTAATACCTTATGGGGTTCAACGTACCAAAGCCACGATATGACTATCAGAGACAATGCGTAGTGGAGAGCTCGGGCAATCTAAGTACAGGGGCCTTAAGCATTTTCGCCGCCATCGAATGTTATGGTTCGTTCATTGGCGGGGCTGTTACGTTTTACAAGTGTGGTTATGGTATTGAACTATTGGCCCGAAGGTAGCGGCCGCATTTTCGATGGAGGCAAAAATTCGTTAGGCCCGTGTACAAAAATTTAGGTGCACGTTAAAAAACCTTAGGCGGCAGTGGCGTAGCCAGGGGATGGCACAACAAGTCCATGCCCCCCCCCCCCCCCATTTTTTTCGCTATGGCATACAGAGCAAAAAACGAAACATATAATGGAGTTATCCCCCCCCCTCCGGTATCAAGGATGTGTCCCCTTTTCGAAAAAAAGAAATATCTGTGTGCGCCCTCGTTATTGGCGCAGCCCTCCACTTTACGGTATTTTTTTTTGTAATTTCAGTGTGGTTTTGGGACATGCAACTTTGACAATTACTAGTTTTACAAGTGTTAGATAATCAACCTGTAAGTTCCTCAGTTGTGCGAACACACCACCACGCTTCGGTTTGGTTAGGTGGGCTGGGTGGGATTGGATTAGGTTGGTTAGAAGCACTTGCTGCTGGGCTAGTCGGTACATCATTGTGAGGGCAAATTCTAGTCGCCTAAGACGCCACAAGAACAACGAAGAAGCGTAGGAAAGGGCGTCACGCTCGCAGCTCATCTATTTGCGAGAGAACTGCAGAAATATGTGTGCCGCACCACGCATGCGCGAACGGCAGTGCCTCACGCAATCACTACACATCAAAAACATGATTAGGATTCGGGTGTTGTAAGCCACATCACAACTTGAGGTCATTGGAAACGCTTATCGAACAAGCGACGAAGAGCGAATTTGGTTAGGTTAGGTGTTATTTACGCTGGAACTCCTCCCGGGGCAGTTTACGAGGGCGTATTCAAAGGCGCTTTGTTGGGGAAGAGGGGTGTAGCCAAATACTTTTTTTTCCTCTGGGGGCTGATGTTCTAATTTTTCGTATGTGTCATCTGTGCGCGTTCATACATACGTGCAAAACTGAAAATTCTCGAGAGAAACCCCCCTCGCCCTGGCTAGCTGTGCCGGGGTTAAAACGCTCGCGAAGAGGATGTTCACGTAACCTCACTCAATGACATTAATTTAAACCAGTAACGAACCATTCTGTTTCTCTCGCAGGTGTACATATCGGGACACATTGGCCCTGGCTTCTTTGTCCGCTCTATCGCTGGCAAAGCCGCTCGCCCGGTGTTATTCGACGAAATCAACGACGAGTACCAGGACCTGATCGCCGAGTACAGGGACGTCGTAGCCGGACAGTTCTTCGGCCACCAACACAGCAACAGCTTCGCCCTCTTGTCCGACAGGAACGGTGAGCCGGCAAAGTGTCCGCGCTTCGATGCATGATTGTAAAGGGGAGAGCCTCGCCATGGATCAAGCTTGCTGACCGGCCGATGACATGGTGGCTATACAAAGCTTACCGTACCTTGCAATTGCAGCGCTTCTGTTTTTACAGCGAAGCTGACTTAGTCTACCCTCAACCGTCGCCATTTTAGTTGTAGTGCAGGGGTGGCGATTGTAGTGGTAGTAATAACAGTATAGTAGTGGTGGTGAGGTGGCAGTATTAATGGTAGTCGTAGTAGTAGTGGCAGTAGTGGTAGTTAGTAGTAGTCGCAACGTTCATAAAGGAATGAAAACGAAACTATGACGGTGCTCTATTATTGCATTCAGTCGCGCGCTTACACTTTCGCAGACTGACGTGGAACTGGTTTCGCAAGGCGTTAATCTGGTTTATTAATTTTTTGCAGCCTCTTTAGGGCTATACTGGGCGCAATTAATATGGAGCTTTCGAACAACGTATACACGCAAAGCATTGCGTTTTCGTTGCGCATGCGCCGTACACTCACCTATTACGTGAACCTAATGAGTGACGAACGCTAACGCTATACAGGGGGTCCCACGTAACTCGAGCCAGAGTTTAAAAATATGCCGGAACACGTAATCACGACGCGACAAAATGCATATTGCTCACCGTTGCCTGGAGTTAGTCAGCCTATCTTTTGTTCTGAAATGTTGTTTAATTAGATATGTTTAATTAACAAACTTTTCAAGAAACGAAGATAGATAAAAAAGTTTCAATGAGAAAGTTGTAGATCTGTTTGCAAAACGTCTGATTAGACAGTTTTGAACTTTATATCTTCTAGGTATTAGTGTTTTTATGCTAATTGCAAATGCCCGCGAAATACAAAAAAAATACCATGTGACAAACCCGCTCCCGCGTCAGTGCGCACAATGATTCTAGCGCTCCCTAACGTTCCGCCTACGAACGACACGCTTCCCTCGCACCGATTCGCGACAGCGATAAGCAGTCACAGTGGTTATTGTTTTTGTGGCCGATAGCAAAACGGGTTTATCGTAAAGCCACCATTATTGTTGCGGCCCTGCCGAGACAGCACTAGAATCATTGCGCGCACTGGCGCACGAGCGGCTTTGTCACGTGGTATTTTTTTGTATTTCGTTGGCGTTTGTAATTAGCAGAAAAACACTAATACCTAACAGATATAAAGTTCAGAACTGTCTAATCGGACGTTTTGCAAACCGATCTACAAATTTCTCATTGAAATTTTTTATCTATCTTCGTTTCTTGAAAAGTTAGTTAATTGAACATATAGTTGCAAAAGGCTGGTGTAACACATCATCCTGCGGTTAGCTCTATTGCAACTGTGATCAAGGATGAGCTGCGCCAGGCCCTCCGGAACACCTTGCCTCCTGATACAGTTGCGCCAGCTCCTGCAGAATACCGCCGTGAGACAACCTACGCGGAAGCCTTGAAACGCCCTGCTGCATCGCCGCCATTATTGGTCCATCCTGTTCCTGCTGTTTCACTCCAGTCAGCGCAGCACATACCGTACTACGAAGGCACGTACACGCCACCACCGTTGGCTTTTGTCCCTGGCGCTTCTGTCGCCCATCGTTCAGTGCAACCAGTTCAGTACATCGACGATCGGCGCACGTCTCCTCGGAAGTCTGATGTTTGGCGCACGCCTGATCGCCGACCTCTGTGCTTTAACTGTGGAGAAGCTGATCAATTGTACCGCCAGTGCCCATACCGCCGTGCAAGAGACCACGCGATTCACGCCATTTCGGCTTCTCTGCCCGAGAGCAAGCCACGACTGACGCATCGTCCTAGAGCTAGCTACCCGGTGGTTCAATAAATCCCCCAGTACTTGTGACTCATCGTGACAATATCTAATTAAACAATATTTGAGAACACAAAAAATAGTCTGACTAACTTCAGGGAACGGTGAGCAACATGCATTTGGTCGCGTCGTGATTACGTGTTCCGGCATATTTTTAAACTCTGGCTCAAGTTAAATGTGACACCGTGTATATGCGCCCGCAAGTTTTGCGTAAGCTTTTCGAAAACTCCCCATTTCCAAATGACTGCCATCATAATTAACAATGCGGCCGCTGCGCCGAGTTGGTCATAATCGACGCGTAACCATTCAAATGAAGCAACTTTTCTTAAAGCGGAGTGGAGTGGAAGACAACACTCGTAATCTCAGGCTCAGATAAGTTTTTTGTTATTATTACGAAGGGCCTTTTTCAAAAAAAAAAAAACTACATTCTAGCTTCGGCGTTTTTGCAAACTACATAGGTTTCAGCGCTGTATATATAACGGATATCGCGAGGGCAGCTAAAATTCTTTTAAAATAAAGCAACAAATATAAAATTCAATATCTGCAGAGCTTTATTATGTTCAGTTTAGCTTTAAGCCAATAAATTCCTGAAATGTGGCTATTTTACGCCGTTTACCACATCTGCATTTTTTTTTAGGGGTGAAGCTCCTTGAGGCGTGGGCTGTGCGTCCCCTGTATGTAGCCACCTCTCGTTTAGTTCTTGCAGTGTTCACTAGATGGCGGTGCTTGTAGCTGATGATGAAAAAATGAAAGATGATATAAACTAGACGGCGGTACTTGCAGTTGATGATGAAAGATGTGAGATGTTATAAAATAGGAATAATGTCACATATGGCGCGTGTCATTGGTAGAAGGCAATCGTTCGATTCAGTGCGGCGACGTACGCTAAGGGGAGCGTTGTAATAAAATCGAGTGGGCAAAATGTACGGAGTATTCATGGTTTACCAGGTTTACCTCCAGAGCTTCGCCCACTCATCATCACTCACTTCGTGGATATGGCGGCACTGTTTATATCCGTCGAAAGTACTTGCAAAGCAAAGGGAAATAACATACTCACAGCCTGCATCGCTCGTGTTCTTTGTTGGGAATAACGATGAACCAATTGGAGGGCCGTTTTTTTTCTCTTCGTGGGCTCTAAATTTCGGGAACTGTGTAACGAGCGAAAAGTGTTTCTTGGACCCAAAGTTAGTATAGTCCGTTCTAGATGAAAAAAAAAAAACAAGTCAAACAACTAGCTTAAAAATTAATGCTCTGGTTCAAACGTGTGCCTGAAGTAATCGCTAAAATTCGGAGTGGTGACCGGGACCTCGTGTTCGTTCCTCTCTGGACACATTCGTTTGCATTTTAATAGTTTCTCACTTCTTTTCCTTTTTATTGAACAAGCATAATCGCATGCAGGGTTTTCCATTATGGAAACAACGTTTCAGAAGGCCCCCCTCTCCCTCCTTTATTATTCCCGAAATATACTCTGACACAAATATGAAAGTGAAGTGTCGACTATATCGTGTTCGATGTAACGAAGCGAGACAATATGTTGCTGATCAGGAATAGTTACCAACCTATGAAATCCGAGGTTTAACGTCACAAAACCAAGATATGATTACGAGGGACGCCGAAGTGGAGGGCTCCGGAAATTTCGACCATCTGGTGATCTTTAACGTGCACTGCACGGCCCTCGAGCATTTCGCCTCCACAGAAATGCGACCGGCATCGAACCCACGACCTTTTCGTCAGCAGTTGAGCGCCGTAACCACTGGTCCACCGCAGCGGACAGCTGGGCAAGGAATGACCAACTAGTAGTTTATTCGTCCTGTCGCTTATGTAACTGAGTGGACACTGAGGGAAGGGGAGAGGCGGGGAAAGAAATGGCAAAAAAAAAAACCGTATCTGCGCACAAGCGCGACAGCCCGATCTGGTACGTCTTCCTACAAGTGAGACATTTGCTTAGACTCACAATTCCAAAAAAAAAAAAGATAAATCTGCGCACATGCACGATTGTCCTGTCTGATAAATGTTTGCTTCTTTGCAGACTAGTTGGTTCATACTTCCTTGCAGGGGCTTCTTTGCTGACTACAGTTGGTTAATACTAAAATCTAGACTTGCTGCGAAAACAGACAGAAGGAAGGGAAACGGAACAGAGTGCTCTATTCTGTCTTCCTTATCTCTGCTGTCGCAGCAAGTCTAGAATAATGACGTAGGTGCTACAACGGCTTGCTCTGCTTGTCAGCCTTCCTTTGAATGCAATTTCAGGTGTTTTTGGTCACCATTAACGTCAGAAAGCATGAGTAGCCGTAACATTGCGCGTTGGGACTAAATGGCGTGAAAGGCCCGACTAAGTGAAGGGGTGGGACAAAATAGGCTCCCCTGGCCCTAAGTTAGACGACTAGGAACGAGACAGACCCTTCGCCCCGCGTGCGCACGCGAGTGGAAGCTGGGCTCTTGTATTAAACGGCGGTATGAAATGTAATGCATTCGTGCGTAGGCACACGGGTGAGCTCTGTCCAACTGGCTGGATCTGTCACGCCGTGGGGCAGCAGCCATCCGATCTACCGTACCGAGTCGGTGCCTACTAATCCGTGCGTGCGACTCTACACATACCGACGCACCACCGGAGAGCTCCTCGACTACACTGTCTATTATCTAGACTTGGAAAAGGCCAATGCAGACGCCCTAAACCAGGTAACCGTGCACTAGCTGCTTTACTTAACATTAGGGGGACACTAAAAAAACCTATATTTTTATCTCGCATTAGTAGATTGCTCTTCCACTACACCAAAAATATCGCGCTTGCTTGCTGCAAGAACACCGCTCGTTTAGTGAAAATACGTGCAAAAAAAAAAAAAAGCGCGGGTGGTGACAGCGCCTTGAAGTTCTTGTACCAGTCGCTGTGTCACTCATTATGACGTCGCCTGCTAGGACCTACGTAGTTCCTAACCGTTAAAGAAGATTACATTGTTTTCTGTGTGAGCAAGATCGTCGTACGAAGTTTCAGAAAGATTTGTTGAATAAGTGTGGCTAGAGTACGAAAGGAACACTTCGAAATTTTTGACCTCACTATTGGATATTTCAGTGAGAAACTTAAAAGCGTGGCATTTTGCGTTGATTTTTTTCACTTATGAACAAACATATAATGTTCACCATCCTTTAGGTTTCGTAACGTATATGATGTTGAGCATTAACGACACAAGAATTTTCTAATAATGAATTATCGGTCTGAACTAATTTATTGCTTCACTTTAATGATCAAGGTATTTTAGCAATTACGATATTTTCGCCATGACTGAGTTTTGTCATTACAAACAATCCCGGTACGTAGATCTCTTAGGGGCAGCTGTGCTCAGAAGGTGCAAATCACGTAACCCCGCTTGCCCTTACTTCAAGTGCGGTGCACTTTACTGGGCCAGGCTGTCGTGTGCTGTCGTCGTCGCTTGGCGTAACGCAGACCAAGCCACGTATAGCCAATTAATATGGACAACTGTAGCGTATACGCAGCGCGCGCTTCTTCCTCGGGCGCTTTGATGGTGATATTAAAGCAAGTCTTGTACCTCTTAATGCTATTCGAGCGTCTTGGTGATCATATTAACGCAGACAAAACCACACTTAGCACAGCCAGCTGTGACGTGGCATACTGAGCGCGCCAAAGAGAACTCTTCTTGTTGAACGAAGTATAGCGGTTCCTTCTAAGGGCACCACATTCACAGAAGTAAGCGGTGCGTCATTCCAAACACGGGTATAATTCTATGCCAGCAAGTATAGACTAGTCGGTCAGCTAATCATGCTGTTTTTTTACATTAGGTTTATTTTTCTCTCAATGTTAGATTATTACGTTAAACGGCACTGCATGCCGAAGGCTTGACATATATGTCATATATGTCTTGACATATATGTCATATATGTCTTGACATATATGTCAAGTGTTGACAACAGACGCTATAGCGTCTGTTGTCAACACTAATTCAATATCGTATTATTGCAACTCACCCTCCGTCGAAGGGCCGTTTTCTTTTTTTTTCTCGGGAAAGGGTGGCAACCTTATCTACGCTGCCTGGCGTCGTCCAGGAAGAGCCTCAGTGGGAGCTGCTGTACTCTGCGAGGAGCGACCTGGGCGTACCTGACCTGAGCACGGCCGCTATGGTCGATCTGGCCCAACGAATCGCCAGTTCTCCGGACCTGCTGTCGCGCTACATCGCTCTCAGTTCGTCCCTCAAGGACTCCGGGCCGTGCGGCAGGGTCTGCCGGCGAACCATGTTGTGCGCCGCCCTGGCTTCGCGGCCTGATTCGCATGCCGCGTGTCTCGCCCGGAAGGACAGTCCCCGTCGACTACTTCGGAGGACGAACCGCGCCGAAGCCACTATGCCCGCGTATATAGACGCGACAGTCCTCTTGTTAGTAATGGTCACCGGAGTCGCTTTTGTCGTGATAGTCAGAAGGAACAGAACGATGCGGTTATACGTGCGATTCTGATGACCGCGTCGCATTCGGGCGCGGGCGCCCTTCTGAATGATTCTAACATGACCTCAAACACGCGCGTTTAATTTATGTTTTCTTTTTGTTAGCACATGGTTTTGCTTTACGTACATATTTGTTTTTTTGTTTTTTCGTCTCATATTTTATATACTTATTGTCATGAACAAAAAGAGGATATTAAAACGCTCGTTTTTTCGACGTCATGGCTACTAGCGGCGCAGGCCTACTAACATTCCCGTGTTTCCACGCGCATAACGACATCACCATCGTCGTCGTCATCATCATCATGATCATAATCATTATAATCGTCATCACCATCATCATCACCACCACCGCCACCACCACCACTAGTCTCACTGTGCGCCCACAGCAGGGCAAAGGTCCCATGTTCCTATAGTCAACGCGGTCCTGTGCTTGCTGCTCTCAAGTTACACCCGCAAACTTCTTAATCTTTTCTGCCCACCTAACATTCTGTCTCCATCTCCAGCGTTTCCCGACCACGTGATAAAATAGTTTACCTCGTAAGGAGTCGCGCGGCAAAGAAGCATCACCTTGTGTTGCTTTTTTTTTTTTTTTTGCTTCGTATCTTACATGGTAGCGCATCAAGAAATGTAGGTGCTGCTAAGCTCGGTACCGTGCGTTCGAATCCTGACTACGGCGGTTACAGTTCGAGAGCTCGTTTCATAGCTCCATAAGCAGGTCACTTTGAGATTGAAGATGCGGAGCAATGTATTTGTGTGAAGAAGACGCCATGGAGTTTCCCATTTACGCACTATAGATGGAACCCTGGCGCTATATTGTCTACGGGAGCTGCAACTCATGGCGCTTCAGCAAGCATGGAGATTATGGGTAGTACAAGGGTTCGCCTAATCTTCGTACTTTATGTACTGTTTGGCTTCGCACGGTTCGAAGCTGTTTTTTCAAGAAACAACAATTAGCAGTATTATCAGTTACGCTTTACACCCTAAAGGCCAACTCCGGCGATTTTTCGACCATGTCAAGGTAATGGTATTTCTATGTTCCTGAGACACACTTGTCACGAGCCCAATAGCTGAAATGCTCAGGAAATCTGAGAAAAATTTCAAGGAGGAAAAAGGTGCAAAACCGAAACCAAAACCAGACAGACCGCCCTGTCTCCGTATGACGTATACTATTTGGCAAGAACCGGAGGCCACATACTGGTTTTGCCGGCGCGGAATATGAAAACTGTGCAAACCAGGCCAGTGAAGATCCGTCAAACACCGTGCAAAGAGGAAAGAAGAAAGCTTTCCCGTGCTATGGATGGATGGATGGATGGATGTGGCCGTACCCTTTAGATCGGGTGGCGGCTAACGCCACCTAGCCGTGATACTTAGTGAACTAACCATTACATTTATCTTTTTTTTTCCTTTAAATAATGAAGTTGAGGATTCGTACTTCGCAGTGAAGGGTTTAATTTTCACTCGTGCCTTGACTTTAGCCACCAATCAGATAACCTCCTTCTAGTTAAGTCTACCCGCTTAAAGTCTATTTTGCCCTCGCTGTCCCTAAATCCCAGTGCTTTGAAAAACTCTGCGCCATCATCCTGAACTATAGGGTGAAGCCCTTTACAGAACATTATCAAGTGTTCGGCAGTTTCTTCTTCCTCTCCACACGCACTGCATACTGTGTCGACCCCTTCGTATTTGGCCCGATATGTCTTGGTTCGCAGTACTCCCGTCCTGGCCTCAAACAGTAGAGAACTACCCCGAGTATTATCATAGATCCTTTCCTTGGCAATTTCCTGCTTAAAAGTTCGATAGATCTCTAGTGCGGACTTCTTAATCATGCCCATTCTCCACATGTCAGTCTCCGTTTCCTTCACTTTTTTCTTAACCGATAGTTTCTTTTGGTTTGGCCACCTGCTGTTTTCTAAGTATTTACCAGTCAACTTCCTGGTTCGCTTCCTCCATTTTGTATCGGCATTCTTCATGTACAAGTAGCTGAAAACCTTCCTAGCCCAACGCTCTTCCCCCATTTCTCTCAATCGCTTCTCAAATTTTATCTTGCTGCTAGCTTCCCTGCCCTCAAATGATGTCCATCCCATATCACCTTGTACTCCCTGATTTGGTGTATTCCCGTGAGCTCCTAAAGCAAGCCTACCTATTCCACGTTGCTTAATTTCTAATCTTGCTTGAACTTCTGCTCTCATGCACAAGACCGCATTGCTGAACGTCAGCCCAGGAACCATGACCCCTTTCCATATTCCTCTCACAACATCATACCTATTGTAATTCCACAGTGCCCTATTTTTCATGACTGCTGCATTCCTGTTACCTTTAGTCGTCACGTATATTTCGTGTTCCCTCAGATACTCGGTCCCATTGCTTATCCATACGCCCAAATATTTGTATTTATCTGTTATCTCTAGCGTGACCTCCTGTATTCTAAGCTCACTACCTTCGTTGTCATTGAAAATCATGACTGCTGATTTTTCCCTACTGAATCTAAAATCTAACCTATCTCCCTCATTACCGCAGATGTCCATCAATCTCTGCAAATCTTCCTTGTTGTTGGCCATTAGCACTATATCATCTGCGTACATTAATGCTGGTAGTGCCTGATCAATAAGTTTTCCTTGTTTGACTAAAGAGAGGTTGAAGCCCAGTCCACTTCCCTCTAATTTTGCCTCTAATCCTTGTAGGTACATCATGAATAATAAAGGTGACAGGGGGCACCCCTGCCTAAGCCCCCGTTTTACCTCTGCAGGCTTGGATACCTGTTTTTCCCACTTTATAACTACCTTGTTACCTTTATAGACCCCCTTTAAAAGATTAGTGACTACATGTTCCACGTCTAGTGTGTCCAGTATTCCCCACAATTCCTCTTGAACCACGCTATCATACGCTCCCTTGATATCCAAAAATGCTAGTCACAGGGGCCTGTGTTCTTTTTCTGCTATTTCGATGCACTGCGTCAGTGAGAACAGATTGTCTTCCAACCTCCTGTGTTTCCGAAACCCATTCTGCAGTTCCCCCAGCACCCCCTCATCCTCTACCCACGCCTGCAGTCTTTCCTTTATAATCTGCATCGCCAGCCTGTAGACCACTGATGTCACTGTTATAGGGCGGTAGTTGTTTATGTCAGCTTTGTCCCCCTTTCCTTTATAGATCATGCTCATCCTGCTAAGTTTCCATCCATCGGGAACTTCACCATCGATTATTATTGTACTCACTGCCTCTCTCAGAGCCTGCTTAGACTTCGGACCTAATGTTTTTATCAGCCTAATTGGAATGCCATCTGGGCCTGTTGATGTACTACTAGGAACCCTTTTCTCAGCCTTTTCCCACTCTTGTTGTGAAAATGGAGCCATTGCACCACTTGATTCGTCTTTGTCTATTGTGGTGCATAAAGTACTTCTTTGTTGAAATTTTTCTGTCACCCTTGTTCTTATATATTCAATAGCTTCGTCCCCTTCTAGCCTAGCACCTTGGGCTGTAGTTATAAAGTTCTGCTCTAGGCTCGTCTCATTTCTTAGGGAGTTTAGATGGTTCCAAAATTTCGCAGCTGCCTTTCTATCTTTTTTATAAACTTCTGCCAGCCACTGAGCTCCCTTCCTTCTAATCTTTTCATTGATCAGAAGGGATGCATCCCTTCTACAGCTTAGAAAGGTTGCCCATTTTCTTTCCACATCATCTGTCGGTTCACCCCGCTACTTAGCATGTCTGTGTTCCCTAGAGGCTTCCTGACGTTTTGCTATGGCTCTCTTAACTTCCTCATCCCACCAACTTTTGGGTTTGTGTCTTCTTTTCCGGGGTGACTTGTCACGCGTCTTAGCAAGCTCTATCTCAAAGAGTCTAATTAGATTTGTGTATGTCCACACTGTCTTATTATCCTCCGTGATTACTTTCTCAATTTGTATAGTGGCTATTTCAATTTGCCTTTCTGGATAAAAATTTTCCTGTAGTTGCTCATCTTGTCTCCTTCCCACTTTCACTGCTCTTCCAAAACTTAGCTTGATACGTTTGTGATCGCTACCCAGACTTCTGGAGCCACCTTCATCTATGTGCATTTCCCTGAGCTTATCATACATCCTATGTGACATCAGTGCATAATCTATCGTCGACTGAAGCCTTCCTACCTCCCATGTTATTTGCCCTTCACACTTCTCGGTACTGTTGCAAATGATCAAATCAAGCCTTTCACACATATTCATGATCATTTTGCCTGTCGGGTCGGTATACCCATCTATATCTTCTATGTGCGCATTCATGTCTCCTAGTATAATTATCTCGCACTCTCTTCCTAACTCCTGAATGCCCCTTGATATACACTCTACCATTGCCTGGTTTTCCTCTCTGGCCTTTGCTCCCGTCCACAAGTACACGAAACCAAGGAGTGTCATTTGACCTGCCACTTTTTCTTTTAGCCATAAATGTTCCTTGCACTCCTGCTTGACCCTTTGCCAGTCTGTACTTTTATGAATGAATGCCCCAATACCACCCCCCTTTCTGCTGTCTTCTGTTCTATTACAATACTCCCACGCATAGTCCGGATTGTTCGGAGGTTGTTCCATGTCCCTGAGATGTGTTTCTACAAAACCGTATACCATCGGCCTCTCTTCCCTTAGCTGTTCTTCTATCTCTTCCCACTTCAGCCTGTTCCTACCACCCTGCATGTTAATATACCCTATGTCTGAATTGGCTCGGCGCTCGTGGCTACGTCTATTTATGCCCCGGACTCTACGTATCTTAGATATTGGTGCCACTTTGGAATCGTATCTGTCCATACCACCTGTCGAAGAGTCTCCCTGGTTGTTTTCCTCGTTACTAGCTATCCTGCACCCCGAAGGGCTCGCTTGCCCCCCAAAAAAGCTACTGCGCGTCCTGCAAGTCGCCAACCCACCTCATGACCTAGCCGCCCATCGAAGTGAATTCTGTCTCGTTGAAAACCCCCCCACCTATGCACCTCTCTGTTTATTTCCACCACCTCAAAGCCTTTCTCTCGACTCATCCGCCATATCTCTTGGTTTGCGTTGA